TTACCATCTTAGAGTCAGTTCATCTGTCACTTTATCATCTTTGAGGCAGGTCATCTGTCACTTTTTTCTTCTTTGAGGCAGGTCATCTGTCACTTTATCATCTTTGAGGCAGGTCACCCATTACAATAGCATCGTTGTGGCATGTCTCCGATCACTTTTTCATCCTTGAGGCATTTCATTCATCACAGTACCATCCATCTTTGAGGCATTTCATTCATCACAGTACCATCTTGGAGGCATTTTATTCATCACAGTACTATCTTTGAGGCAGGTCAACCATCACAGTACCATCTTTGAGGCATTTCATTCATCACAGTACCAACTTTGAGGCATGTCCACCATGCAAGTTACCATGCATCGATACCGGATCACAATGCTCATAGGTTTACCAGTACCGTTTCACCACTTGGTTAGATGAAGAATAGGGAGAGTTTGCTGGGGTAACATTCCCCCCAAATACCGCCTACATTCCAATCCCAAACGTCGTTCACACGAACCCAGAATTGTTAGTGTTTATTGTTAGGTATAAACGCCTCATTGTTCGGAAAAATCATTTTGTCTATGAATATTGTAAATATTACAAGATATTGGATAAACCCTTACGAGTATGTAATAAATGTTTGAATCTGGTCACATATTGCTCAACTAAGCCTATACGGTGGGAATTCTATTAAACAACCCACGAAACAGATATTATTAAAACTGAGAGGACACACTCTGTCATATGACAATGTGTTGGCTGAGGTATCTATTTCTTTATGGCCTCTTGCGTGAATAATAATGTAGGGGTGAGGTATGTGTGTCGTGGCAGGGGGTGAGACATAGGGTTTCAGAGTTCACTCGAGGCTGAGTGCGGACTAGTAGTCGTTCAAGCTGTCAGCCTTCCTCCACCTACAGCTTAGCCGAATTCTTCCCGTGTTATGGAGCGGAACTCGTGGTAAGTGGTGAATCTGATCTCAACGCGCTGGAGTTAAGGGACTGGGTAATGATACCGTGAGTGGAGGGCGTGACCTCCACGCTACACGGGTAGTATTCAAGCGGTGGTACAGCGACGTGCAGACTGTCATGGGATTGGCGACAATAGGTCTGTGTTTACTCATTCTGCAGCGGTAAAGCTGATAATCCCATATGCGGGTTTTGTGAGGCCCAGCCACACGCTCATCATGTTTATCGGGATGGTTGTACACTTTCCGTTTTCGTGAGAAAAAATTAACCTGTGAGTAATACTCGCGTTATCTAGATTAATTTTCCCACTATAATTATTGTTATAATAGTTAAAGGTTTCCAAAAACAATACGGGCAGCTTTACCATGACATCAATTAAATGAAATTCAGCGCGCTAGATTGCTATGAATAAAGTTTTTTGTTTTTTTGTGCTTAACGCCACAGTCTATATTGACATCATGATCATCGATCAACGCAATTGGTATATAATGACATGCATCAACCATCAGCGAGCCTGACCCGATCCCGTTAGTCGCCTCTTACGACAAGCATGGGTTGCTGAAGATCTATTCTACCCCGGATCTTCACGGGTTGCTGAGATTCGACCACTGATTGCATGTCATTGTGCCGGAGAGCGAAAAGTCGGTGGTCCGATCCCAGGCCGCGTCACAAAAAAAGACGTTAAAAAGATGGCCTGAGTCAGGTATTCATGTTAAGCCTCGACATGGTATCTCAATGGGCAAAACCCGGCATTAGTTCGGACTAGCACAAGCACACACACACACACACACACACACACACACACACGCTTATACGTCGCTCTATAAGTGCAATAATCTTTAATGCGACGTTAACCCGATTTCCCCTCACCTCACGAGAAAGGCGAGCAACCACGAGACGCATGCCTCATTTTACACGCGTTTCTTCCAATTACAATTTTTACGAGATTACAAAATACTTTCATATTTCACTTCAAGTACATTTGAGTGAGTCAGTATGTTTAAGCCGCTTTTAGCTGTATTCCAACAATATCACGGCAGGGGACACCAGAAATGGGCTTCACACTTTGACGTGAAGAGCAAACGCTTTAACCACTAGGCTGCCCGACCGCCCACTTCAAGTACAACAAGAATACAGGTTACCACAGGTTACCATAGTAACGTGTGTCGGTGTTCAAGAGATACATGTATGCCTTCCAATGTTCGTATCTGTAATAGGTGTTGTTTCAAACATGTTTTATTCACATAAAGTTAAAAGGATTGGGTACAAGTTATGACAACTTAGCAGGAGCCCGTCATACAGACCATGAAACAAATATATCCAACACAGCCAATTATTATCACATAATATTTGGCAAGTCTAGATTACTGCAGGTTGAAAATGAAGAAAGTCTCTTGACTCCGTTTTATGAAGATTTCTTCTGTAACATGATTTTCTGTAAAATATGTTGACATCAGAGACTAGGCGTTAGTCTACCTAGAATGCCGCTTCTACGCATATTGACAATACTTCATTTACAACATGCGTCACAGGCTGAAAGGAGGCTGAAAATAGAACACGATACAAGGTAGACATTTTGAGTTCAACAAATTATCGACTTCAGTACGGTTGTACCGAGAGAAGTGATCGCTCAATGCATGCATGGGTCCGATCCGTATCGCCGTGTAAGTTGGCTCAGACAAGGTTGTCATCCCAGCCTAACTCTGTTCACTAGATATACCACATGACAGACAATACTGACCACAGGTCCGGCAGTGTGAATCACATTGACGGGATTTCTCATCTCAATGCTAAATAAATCATTATTCAACTTTGTAAATGAGTATCGTTTGGCATGAATATTATTCAGTCTTGACCGTCTATGGAAAAGTGATGTGGGGCTACAGAATATATTTACTTCATACAGCTACCGTCACTTTGGTGACGGGATCCGGTCTATATACATGAAGCGTACATAAAATTTGTCCAGATCTTTATTCAGTACAGTACAGTACAGGCCACATGCCCTTTGTACAAAATGTATGGCATATTTATGGCAACAGTCACAATGATAAAATACGTGTTCTCTCTTCTTTACTGTGATACAGATATTTAGCGATATTAATAATCAGCTTTGTGTTGGTTGTAGATAAAAGAATATTAAACTTATGGACATTTGGGTGTAAAATTTGTCAACAAGGCGAATATACGTTTTACAGCAATCGAGGCAACAAAGTTACAAGTCAATATACATCCATGTGTAGGACACAGAATGAACACGGGCGAACACGGGCCCCTGACGAACACCCGTACACTGTGAAGGAGAGGCGGTGTTTTGGAGAAACTTCCACCAAGCTGCATTAGAATGTTTAAGTTCAGCCAACGCCCATTTTGAGAGAAAAACGTAGCGTGTTTTCAGTGTATCCCAATTGAGACTTTAAGTTAGGGCTGCAGATTAGCTATTAATCAACATTCTCTCATTACAAAATAACTTGAAACTATTCCATTTCGACGGGCTAGTAATGGCTGGACTTGCAGCAACACTGTCGCGACACATGGACGATTGTGCACATGCCAAACAGATCGAATAAGAACGGAAACAGGATATTACAGATACAGATGCCGTTTGGAATGTTTACCTCATGAAATTGTGATACTTCATGGAAAAGTTATATAACTAACGTTTTATATTTATAATACTCTTGGGTACGGTGGCCCATAAGGGACATGATGTCCAAATATGAAATATATATGTTGAATTAATCCATTAGACACAACAACACGTACTTAATTAATCCATCAGACACAACTAGACGTACTGAATTAATCCATCAGACACAACTAGACGTACTGAATTAATCCATCAGACACAACCAGACGTACTGAATTAATGTATTAAAGTACTCACGGAAATGAAAAATAACCAGTTTTTTCGATCTCAGATTTTAAATAAATGCAGTAAATATACAAAATATATAAATATTCAAACGACTCAATTAGTACTAATTGGGCCTTGGCACAAATACAGCGTATCAAAGGTTTTTATGTCTTTTTAAACGTAAAAGTGTGTAAAAATATGAACAAAACAGACTATTGTGAAACTGAGCATAACCAGGTGTAAGTGGATCAAGGTGAATGTCCATGACCTATGACACCTTGACGACAGGTGAAAACAGGTGCTTGAAACCCACGTGCATGTGATTTGTCAGGGGTTTGTGATTTGTGAGTGGCATTGTTGGATAGTGAATCATCGTCAAAATATCAGAACGTAAAAGTAACATATTCCCTTCTCAAACAACACTTACATGTTATTATTATTCTGTACATAAACATAGCTGTTATTTTTATTGTTGTTTTGATAACTTTTTTCCAGGCTAATTTGCATAATGCCTATAGCCTGTTTCTGCCATGTCAATTTAGACTTAGTTTTATTTTTGAATGTTGAAAGTGCCTACAAATTACCTCCTGTAAAGTACATTTTGTATTGAGCACTGAGATAAAACTAGCAAATCCAGACTAGTACTTTTCCAGTTGTTTTGTTATTTCGTATTTACATTTACGTAATGCTTTGTGTCGATTATTAAATCCAGCGAAACAGTTTTTTTTTATTTCCATGAGTACTTTAATCCCTATGACAACTAATGGATTAACAAAGTTAATCTACAGAGACATTCAGCTCTCATGCAAGATGGTAGTTGTGAAGGGAAAGCAGGGAGTCAAAGTAACATTTTGCTTTTTTGAACTTATCATAGAATAACTGGATTTAAATATAGGGATACGTTTTACAAGAATCGCTGAATGGTGGTATATGGTTTGGGTGACCAAATTAAACATTCACATCAACGCATGGTGAACACTATCCACTGTCGAGTGTCGCGGCAGCTGTAAACTGCATTGTTCTAATGAGATTGGCCGTGGAAGTACACCACCATGAGCGACAGGCTACGTTGTTGGGCACGACTCCACCTCGTGACGGGGAAGCACACCATCATGAGCGCCAGGCTACGTTGTTGGGGCACGACTCCCCCTCGTGACGGGGAAGCACCGTGGACCACGCGGCCTTGACATGTCGCATTCTAGGAGTAGGTGTGAAGCAGGGTCAAGCCATTGTCAGCTGCACTGGTATCTGCTTGTGTCCTGATTCCTTTGCCGAAAGACGAATCGTCTCCGGACAAAACTGATGCTACATTATAGCCCTGAAATACATATGATGATATATATATATACATATAGGATTCGAAGCCACGATCACCGGAGCCATGCATACATAGGGACGCGACACTGCACTGAACGTCAGAATTTGAACGCATTGAAGAAGGCCAAGGGGAGACCATCCTCAGCCTAATTCAAAATCAGAACAATTTACATCTGCAGAGGGTTAGGAGACAAAGTTATATGTCTCTAGGTGCTGTGATGATTTGTATGCAGTGCTTCAAAACAGTCTGGACCCGTGAAGTTCTGGGTTTGAATAGGTCCCATGCTTGCCGTAAAAGGCGACTATGCTTGTCGTAAGAGGCGACTAACGGATCGGGTGGTCAGGCTCGCTGACTCGGTTGATACATGTCATCGTATCCCAATTGCGTGGATTGACGTGCATGCATGTTGCTATATAAGTGCAATAATCTTGGACGCGACGTTAAACCCAACTTCACCTCACCTCACCTATTCTTCTGGGCATCAGGCAAATTATATTTATTAGCATTTTCGGGAACAGAATCCTTTTCTCCAAGACATCTACAGGATGTATGGCGCGAATGGTTAGTTGCCTCGCTATATACGCCATGATCCACAGAGAGAACAGGCTATGAATTAGTTAATGTGTAGTAGATGAGTTATCTTATTTTAAGGTCCAAAGAGTGAATAGTGAATGACCTGTTTATCTAGGCCATGGTCCACGCCGCATCTGAGGGGTTTGAGAAGCATCTCCGGCAGACAGGGGAACAGACGGTCAAACAGCGGGCTGATGAGGCGGGGATCCAAGCTGGATGGCTGGCGTGGTCCTAACAATACCATCAACACAAATCTTTAGAACCAGAATCATATGTTGTATAGGCTTTGATACCACATACCTGCTCTTACATCTCGGACCATAGTGACTCACATAGCCCTGAAGACCACTTTAACCACCCACTTGCTCTGCCACACAGGCCATCACCCATCCTCCTTCCATCCTGCCAACCCATTCACTTCTGGTAATTTGTCTCACACGTACAGTACCATTCAACCTGTCTCGATAACCCACTAAAAGTCAGTTTTCTCAACACAAGTCAACTCGTCCCACTCACTCATTTATAATCAACTTGTCACAGCAACCAACATCACCCCGTACCACAGTCCCTTCACTCATCAAATCACTAGATGGACTGACTGACTGACTGACTGACGGGCGGACGGACGGACGGACGGACCGACCGACCGACCCACCGACCGACCCACCATCACACTCACACTCACACTCTCACTCACTCACTCACTCACTCACTCACTCACTCACTCACCTGTGAGGAGACTGGTGCCAAGCCCCACCAGTACCAGGACAGCCATGGCGGTGGGCGTGTAGTACATGTAGGACAGCGAGTACAAGGGGAGGAATACGCTGCAATCAGATCCAGAACCTGTCAATGATGGTCCCATACATTAATTCCCCGACAACATTGTTGACGTGGAGGCCATGTTAATGATGGCATCGGGTAAAGAATATTCTATTGGGTGCAAGAAATACAAGGAGAATCAAACTCTTTACAAGGGTAAATCGAAACTGTCATGGTCTCGTATTGAAAGTCGTTAAGAATAAAAAAATGTTCACAGATAACTTTTAAAGTAATTTCCTTTGACTTCAGTGCTCTCCATCCAGCAATGCTCCAGCTTGGTAAGTCCTGCCTTACAGGCGTCTTTACTTTGGTCGCCAGAAAAGACTTGAAGACGACAATTACCTTGTGGTTACAGGTACAAACTCCACCATACAGGTGTGATTGAGATGTGAGGGTACCAGGTCAGGGCAGTAGGATGTGAAGTGTGTACTGGCCCATTGTCCTGACGCAGTAGCACACGTGCACGAAGCTTTCCTTTCCTTGATAGCTTCTCTCTACTGACGTTGTCCTGTGCCGTGTGGTTGTCCGTTCATAATCTGACCTCGTTGCAGATAGAATTAAGGATAACAAACCGAAGCCATGGTTTTGTCAATTGACGCCACCCTCTTGTACGACTTTGGTGGGTTTGACGAAAAGTCTCCTCTATGTCTTCGAGGGGCGGACGGGTAGCCGTATGGATAAAGCATTCGCTCGTCACGCCGAAGACACTGGTGCGACTCCCGACATGGGTACAATGTTTGAAGCCCATTTCTGGTGTCCCCCGCCGTGATATTGCTGGAATATTGCTAAAGGCGGCGTAAAATCAACCTCACTCACTTACTCTATGTCTTCGACAGTTTTTACTCTGGATAAAGGTGATGAACCGGGGTTACGATTCGCACAATGCCTGGATTATACTGCTAGCTAATTATGGGTACGTTAATTCGGGTCACAAGTCACATTATGGCTGAAATATTGCCGACGTGAGTTAAAATTAAACACTCACTCATTCGGGTCAGCTTCTGATTTGATGTCAACACTTGCGGAAACCTTGTCATGAGGAATGTGTCGGTTGAGATGAACTGTACTGACCCAAAACACAGCCCACCAACTCAGTGATGTGCCGGAGTTTAATACATTGCATTACCATGGAGTGGATAACTTTCACACGTGGCATCTCCACAACGACCAGACCTAGCCTCATCTTCTGAGCTACTCCTGCCTCGCTTAAATTCTACAGACCATTCCTTAACAGTTATGAATGAAGACCAGTAACCAGGAAAACGCGCTTCCTATCTGAGTGTGACTTGCATCTTAATCACAGCTTTTTCTCAGTTTTCTCCATTTTCGCAGTTTCTCTCACCCCTGGCAAATTCTCTTGATGACTTTTGACAAGAGAGGCAGTCGTCTGTGACTTCTGACGCCTTGTGTTGATGTCAGGTCTTCCGAGAGGGGATATTTGTCACGCACGTGTTAACACATTACATGTCACAAGACACATGAGGCCAGGGACGTCTCGATGGACCCTCGTGGTAGTGAGGTTTACAGACACCCCAACAAACACTAAAACCCTATAGTTACATGCAAAACGATTATCAAACCTTGAGCTTGCGTCTGTCGTCATTGCAAGTGTTGTCACGTTCGACTCCAAGACAGTTGAGGCTGTCGTCATAGATACTGTATTATTATTATCCATGGTTACGTTCCAGTTGCATCCATGAGTGAAGATGGGCGAGCGGACGCTACTTGCTGTCCTGTGCACAAACGCGCCAACTCCGATCCAGGCCATGAATGCTACCGATGTTATGCTGCCAACAATTGCGCCCTGGACAGAGAAATGATGAAGTTACAAGCCCAGCATGGCCACAGGGAAGGAAGTATTCGAGACACAAACACCAAATCATGCACACACGCACACGCACACCCACACGCAAATGCAAACGCAAGCAGACGCAAAAGCAAACGCACGCACACACACGCACATGCACGCACACGCACGCACGTGAAAACGACTTACCTTCGTGTTTGCCCAAGGGAAGAACATGCCGAGGACAAAGATGCCGAAGATTGGACCGTTCAGGAGGGATGTAGCTGCAGCAGCCGCCTGGTATGTACAGCCAGAATGTTATGAGCCTTTGATAATATTAAGTTAATCTCGATATCTATCACATAACGTTTTGGCATAATACGCACATTTATAATGCGCCAGATTCCATTAACCTTGACAATACTGATGACGCTAGAAACCATCATTGTCCCTGTCAAAGGATCAATGTGCAGATAATTCTCAGCTCCCTGGGGAGTATACACCCCAAGCGGCCTGTGAGGCACTAGAAGGTTAACAGCCACATTACCATTTCAACGTACCGGGCACCTGCTGGTTGAACATATGCATAATTCAAACATATAACATATCACATTTGTCCCACAGTTTGCAGTATATTTTGTTGTATAGACTACAATACCTGATATCAATATCTTGCTCATGACTGACCATCATATAGTAAAGTCCCACCTGAAGCAGCGTGCCCATCCGCGACACAACGAAGCAGAGAAGCATGATGCTGGAGCCGCTCAGTGCCACTGAAAGATCATGTCAAGATGCAGCCTGGATTGTAGTATGTTACAGGCAAGGCTGATTTGTTTGTTTAAACGTCAATCATCTTACAGTTACATATTGACCTCTACGTTAAAACGTCATTTATGTTACACCAACGGTCTGATTTGTACGATAAAACGTCAGTTATGCTACATGTTAAAACAGATCCGTACGTTGAGACGTCAATTATGTTACACGTACTATCTGATTTGTTCATTAAAACGTCAATAATGTTATATATAAAATCATGCTACAGCTACATACTGTATTGCGAATTAAAACGCCAATCATGCTACACGTACGGTCTGAATTGATCATTAAAACGTCATTCATGCTACACGTTCAGTCTGATTCGTCAACATAATGAGGAATCAGCATACAATTACACCCATGATACAGGTGTTTCATGTGACCACCCTTCCTCGTAATGATCAGGAAATATCAGCTGAGCGAAGTAGGCAATGCTGAATGACATTTTGAAACTAAGTTCGCGAAACATCTGAGCATGTTCTGCCCTGCCAGTGTAACCCGCGTCCACGTGAAGGCGAAGATCTTATGCGCTGCCAGTGTAACCCGCGTCCACGTGAAGGCGAAGATATTATGCGCTGCCAGTGTAACCCGCGTCCACGTGAAGGCGAAGATCATAATAGATGTGAAAAAGTTCTATGGCGATGAAAATCTAGGAAGCACATTATTGGGAAGGCATCGAACATATTTACAGTTAAAATCAACGAATAATTCCCGAGTTTCATATTATGATTTAGATTCTATTTGCATATTCGTTTGGTTGTTTGTTGTTTAACGCCGCACTTAACAATATTCAAGCCATGTGACGGTGGTCTGTAAATAATCGAGTCGGGACCAGACAATCCAGTGATTGACATCATCAGCATCAATCCACGCAATTGGGATACAATGACATGCATCAACCGAGTCAGCGAGCCTAACCACCCGATCCCATTAGACGCCTCTTACGACAAGCATTGTCGCCTTTTACGGCAAGCCTGAGTTGCTGAAGACCTCTTCCGGTCCGGAGCTTCACGGGTTTGTCAGCGCTTGCAACACGATGCTCAACATGCCTTACATCTTCTGTAGTTTGATAACGACAAACGCATTTGAATAATATCATCAGATGAGCAATATTTTTTATACATCCTTTGGTAAGTCATCCACAGAGATCATCGTCATGCATTTACCTCATGTGCACGACGTCAACGATCAGCGCGATGAGGAATAGTTTGCAGGTTGCAACTAAACGTGTGGCAATACACCTTCTCACCATTGCTAAATTAGTTGATCATATCAATGTGATTATAAAGGTATGTCGAATAGGTAGACCTACTGAAGTAAATTCATCGATTGTTACAGTCTGATGGTAATGGCGTCCATAATTGTAGGATTCCTGTATTCCTGTTGTTCTCGAGGTTGGATCGTATTGACAATCCATCACGTGCATGCTGTCCAAAACTGCCTATTGTCAACGTATGCAAAAACCTTGAACACAACATTACATGGCACAAAAACGGCTCAATTTTTATCCGTGCAAGGGAATATCTGGGGGATTACCCGGGATTCTGGAAGTAGTCCATCAATACGTGTCTTTCAATCGCTTATGTAACCCGTCTCCCTTCACATTGAAAACACGTATAATGTGCAAACGTCACATTAAACGATATATCACCTTGTAAAACACCTCCTCCAAATACAGGTACTGGAATGTATATACACCCCTCACTCGGAATGTGGCCTGACAGATAGACACACTTACCTATAACCTTTGACATGATGGCGGAGGACCTGTCAGAGATGTTGCTGTAGCACCAGGGCTTGATGAGGTCGCCGGGAACGACGGCGCTAATAGCGTTCAACCCCGAGGAGATGGAACTACGTTTACAAGCAGAAACATGTACGTACTGTCTGTATTGTACACATGTTGACTGTTCTGCCGTACGTTTTATTGATATAATAACTAATTACCAACAACCCACAATCCGAGGCCGAATGAGCGCTACCGTTTTAATAATTAGATATTTGAAAAATAGTTCCCGTACACTGATAGAAACGTATGTTCTCGGACGGAACATAATATTTGAACTGTATTTATGGAATTTCACATATATCGACCAGAAATTAAGAGAAACTATACTTGCGGGGAAAGGTAACAGTACAACAGTGGTGTAAATGTTATCTTATTAAAAATAAAAACATAATATTTGGTAAGTTGATCAATGTTTTTTCACAACAAATTCATGGGCAAAACCCATACCTGGTGACAGGAGACAGAGCGACAGGCCCTTAACAAGGGAAATGAAACAACTCAAGTAACAATGTCATTATCGGGTGTGACCACTACTTGAGTTGATACAGTCGAGTCAGGGGCTTTCACAACATCAGATGATTGAAAACAGCAGCTATGTCAACTAAAGATTGGTTCAACTGAGCTAGCGTTACCAGCTGGATCTAATCATGCCGTAAACATCATCCCAGACGAGCTGAAGTTGACAGGACACACAAATACCTGAGGCTATAACCAGTAGACAGGACACACACACACACACATCCCAGAGACTGCCACCAGTAGACAGGACACACACACACATACCCGAGACTGCCACCAATAGATAGGACACACACACATCCCAGAGACTGCCACCAGTAGACAGGACACACACATACACGAGAGTGCCACCAATAGATAGGACACACACATATACCTGAGACTGTAACCAGTAGACAGGACACACGCATCCCTGAGACTGTCACCAGTAGACAGGAGACACACACACACATATCTGAGACTGTCACCAGTAGACAGGACACACACACACATCCCTGAGACTGCCACCAGGAGACAGGGCACACACACATACACATACCCGAGACTGCCACCAATAGACAGGACACACATATACCTGAGACTGTAACCAGTAGACAGGACACACACATACCTGAGACTGCTACCAGTAGACAGGACACACACATATCCGAGACTGTAACCAGTAGACAGGATACACACATACCTGAGACTGTAACCAGCAGACAGGACACACACATACTTGAGACTGGCACCAGTAGACAGGACACACGCATCCCTGAGACCCCACCAGTAGACAGGACACACACATACCTGAGACTGCCACCAGTAGACAGGACACACACATACACGAGAGTGCCACCAGTATACAGGACACACACATACCTGAGACTGCCACCAAGAGATAGGACACACACACATACCTGAGACTGTAACCAGTAGACAGGACACACGCATCCCTGAGACTGCCACCAGTAGACAGGACACACACACACACATATCAGAGACTGTCACCAGTAGACAGGACACACACACACACACACATCCCTGAGACTGCCACCAATAGATAGGACATACACACATACCTGAGACTGTAACCAGTAGACATGACACACACATACCCGAGACTGCCACCAGTAGACAGGACACACACATATCCGAGACTGCCACCAGTATACAGGATACACACATACCTGAGACTTTAACCAGCAGACAGGACACACACATACCTGAGACTGGCACCAGTAGACAGGACACACGCATCCCTTAGACTGCCACCAGTAGACAGGACACACATATACCTGAGACTGACACCAGTAGACAGGACACACAGATACACGAGAGTGCCACCAGTATACAGGACACACACATACCTGAGACTGCCACCAATAGATAGGACACACACACATACCCGAGACTGTAACCAGTAGACAGGACACACACATCCCTGAGACTGCCACCAGTAGACAGGACACACGCATACCTGAGACTGTCACCAGTAGACAGGACACACATACCTGAGACTGCCACCAGTAGACAGGACACACACACACACACATACCTGAGACTGCCACCAGTAGACAGGACACACATACCTGAGACTGCCACCAGTAGACAGGACACACAAACACATACCTGAGACTGCCACAAGTAGACAGGACACACACATACCTGAGACTGCCACAAGTAGACAGGACACACACATACACACACATACCTGAGACTGCCACCAGTAGACAGGACACACGCATACCTGAGACTGCCACCAGTAGACAGGACACACGCATACCTGAGACTGCCACCAGTAGACAGGACACACGCATACCTGAGACTGTCACCAGTAGACAGGACACACATACCTGAGACTGCCACCAGTAGACAGGACACACACACACACACATACCTGAGACTGCCACCAGTAGACAGGACACACATACCTGAGACTGCCACCAGTAGACAGGACACACAAACACATACCTGAGACTGCCACAAGTAGACAGGACACACACATACCTGAGACTGCCACAAGTAGACAGGACACACACATACACACACATACCTGAGACTGCCACCAGTAGACAGGACACACAAACACATACCTGAGACTGCCACAAGTAGACAGGACACACACACACACACACATACCTGAGACTGCCACCAGTAGACACGACACACATACCTGAGACTGCCACCAGTAGACAGGACACACAAACACATACCTGAGACTGCCACAAGTAGACAGGACACACACATACCTGAGACTGCCACCAGTAGACAGGACACACACATACACACACATACCTGAGACTGCCACAAGTAGACAGGACACACGCATACCTGAGACTGTCACCAGTAGACAGGACACACACATACACACACATACCTGAGACTGTCACCAGTAGACAGGACACACACACACATACCTGAGACTGCCACCAATAGATAGGACACACACACATACCTGAGATTGTAACCAGTAGACAGGACACACAAACACATACCTGAGACTGTCACCAGTAGACAGGACACACACATACACACACATACCTGAGACTGTCACCAGTAGACAGGACACACACACATACCTGAGACTGCAACCAATAGATAGGACACACACACATACCTGAGATTGTAACCAGTAGACAGGACACACACATACCCGAGACTGCCACCAGTAGACAGGACACATGCATACCTGAGACTGCCACCAGTAGACAGGACACACACACACACATACCAGAGACTGCCACCAGTAGACAGGACACACATACCTGAGACTGCCACCAGTAGACAGGACACACACACACACATACCAGAGACTGCCACCAGTAGACAGGACACACATACCTGAGACTGCCACCAGTAGACAAGACACACAAACACATACCTGAGACTGCCACAAGTAGACAGGACACACACACATACCTGAGACTGTCACCAGTAGACAGGACACACATACCTGAGACTGCCCACCAGCAGACAGGACACACACACACATACCTGAGACTGCCACCAGTAGACAGGACAGACACATACCTGAGACTGCCACCAGTAGACAGGACACACACATACCTGAGACTGTAACCAGCAGACAGGACACACCCATACCGGAGACTGCCACCAGTAGACAGGACACACACATACCGAAGACTGCCACCAGTAGACAGGACACACACTAACCTGAGACTGCCACTGAGGAGGGAGGACACAAACATGCCGGGTATCCCTGGGTAGACGCCGAGGATGTCCATCACGAGGAGTGGCAGCATCTAAACGACACACAACCTGATATGAAGCGGGAGAGGCTACGAATACAACTGCGACCCCAACCGTGTCACCACCACATCTCCAGTTTACACCTCACCCTTTTCACACCTTGTATGGACGTCCATCTACATCCGAGCGCCTGTACACATATCTACACCCGTCTACACCCGTATAGCACCGACCACGCCTCATTCCACTACCGATTGCTTCCCAGACCCCCAGCTGAACGCCGTCCACCTCAACCCCATATTTCAACCCCAATATCTCAAACCTTATATCTCAACCCCAACCTCCTCCCCCTCCGCAATCCCAACGTCAACCCTCATATCTTAACCCCCACCTCAACCCCTACCTCTTCTCTCTGGTCAATCTCTGGTCCCCCCCCAATACACACACACACACACACACACACACACACACGCCGCTGTGATATCGTCATGCATGAATATGTATCAGCAGTGATAACGCAGATCATACTATCTGGCCCAGTCATCAGTTTTCTGATGCAAATCGCAGGCCGTATCAGTTGCTATCTGTCTCGCCGCTGAATAAGAATATCAATTAAGGGCAAGATAACTAGCATATGTGAATATTTTTAGCATGCCATTTTGCAAAATGTCGCATGTATTCAGTTAAGCATATAATAGCATACACAGACGTGGGCGTGACGTTGTGTATCTGTGTGTAGAGAACAGAACTTTATCCCGCCACGAGATGCGTTATACTACAACACAATATGGTATTACGTTTAGTTTGTTTGTTTGTTGTTTAACGCCGCAATCAGCAATATTCCAGCTACATAACGGCAATATGTAAATAATCGAGTCTGGACCGGACAGTCCTGTGATTGTCTACCAAGTCTGCGAGTCTGAACACAAGATACCGTTAGTCGCCTCTTAGGGGCGATCGGGTAGCCTAGTGGCTAAAGCGTTCACTCTTCGCGCCGAATACCCGAGTTCGATTCTAGACATGGGTACAATGTGTGAAGTGCATTTCTGGTGTCCCCCGCCGTGATATTGCTGGAATATTGCTAAAAGCGGCGTAAAATCATACTCACTCACTAGTCGCCTCTTACGACAAGCATAGTCGCCTTTTACAGCAAGCATGGTTTGCTGAAGACCTGTTCTGACCCGGATCTTCATGTGTGTGTCATTGCGTAACGTGAATGTATGTTTGAGTGAATCAGACCTGGTCCGTCCTGGAGATGAGGTTGTTGAACTTGACGGGGTGGCAGTCGGAGTAGAAGGCGTACATGACGATGCCAATCATGCAGCACATGCTGATGACGATGATGAGGAAGACGGTGTTGAGGACCAATGCTCTGCGCACATAAATACACAAGTTTACCACTACTGGTATTAGATTCAAGTACTGTGAGCAGATCGAGACACGATACACATTTCAAATTGCTGTTTGGAATGAGTACTGTTTTACGCAGCTTTTAGCAATATCTCAGCAATATCACGGCGGGGGACACAGAAATAGGCTTCACACATTGTACCCATGCCGGGGAATCGAACCCGGGTCTTTGGCGTGAAAAGTGAACGCTTTAACCAGTAGGCTACCCCACCACCCCTCAAAATACTGTAAATGAGGCCTTAAAAATTTGGAGTAACCTCTACGGGTATCTATTTTGTACAAGTGACCACTGGGCGCTCACTACATGAGGGTGTAACAGAGCTTGTGGCACTTACATCTGGGCCTTGGTGATGCTCCTACAGGATAAGGCTCGCTGCACCTGCGCCTGGTTAACTCCGTACAGCGACATCCACATGAAACCGCCGCCTACCACCAGGGACCAGAAGGAATGTCGGGTGGTGGGGTCAGTGTCGAAACTGGGAAATGGCACGTGGGGTGACAATTACGCTCAACGGGAAGAATAGGAATGAATAGTCAAGAATAGCATGTGTAGTGAGGGACAACGTGTGGGGTAGGACTAGCACGTAGAAACTGGTGAACATTAGATCATCAGATCTCAAAGATAATTACAAACAATCACCAAAGATAATCAAATCACATTTTGAGATATATGTGGAGTAACACAATGAAGAGACTCGGGGGGGGGGGGGGGGGGGGGGGGGTGGATTGCTAGATCTACATCAGTCATTAAACTAATAGCATCTATTTTAAGAAGGTTATGCATCAATATAATGAGGGGTATAAACACTTCAGACGCGGAGTATAACCCATTCAGACGCGGAGTATAAACCGTTCAGACACAGGGTATAACCATTCAGACACGGGGTATCGACCATTCAGTGACGGAGTATAAACCATTCAGACACGGGGTATCAACCATTCAGATAGGGGAATAAATCATTCAGATATGCGTATGAACCATTCAGACGCGGAGTATAAACCATTCAGTGACGGAGTATAAACCGTTCAGACACAGGGTATAATTATAAACAATTCAGACACGGGGAATAAATCATTTAGACACAGTGTATAAACCGTTCAGACTCAGGGTGTAAACCATTCAGACACGGGTATAAATCATTCAGACACAGGGTATAAACCATTCAGACACGGGGTATAAACCATTCAGACACAGGGTATATATCATTCAGACCCGGAGTGTAAACCATTCAGACACGAAGTATAAACCGTTCAGATACAGGGTATAAATCATTCAGACACGGAGTGTAAACCATTCAGACACGGGGTATAAACCATTCAGACACAGGGTATAAACCATTCAGACACGGAGTAAAAACCATTCAGACACGAAGTATAAACCATTCAGACACGGAGTATAAACCATTCAGACACGAAGTACAAACCATTCAGACACGGAGTGTAAACCGTTCAGACACGAAGTATAAACCATTCAAACACTGTGTGAATGTATAAGGAGGCATATATACTCATGGAACACAATCCTGGAGCGTTTGTCAGCGATCATCCAGGCCTTATCAAACCCGCCCACCACAGCGGAGCCCCGGATGAGGATAGCGAAGAGGCCGGCCAGGATGACGAACGCCTGGAAGGTGTCCGTCCACACTACCGCCTTCATTCCGCCCTACAATTACATATACTGCGTGCATGGGACACACACCTCGTTATAACATGGTATCATGAAAGCCCACATGGAAGTCTCATGTAAATCTTACTATCTACGCGCCTAACATCTGTAAAAGTCGTGCGCCCTTCACCATAAATCGTAAAGGGAAGAAAATACAAATACCTGCTAGATGATATCTATATCATATATAAAACGATGCGTGTATTCATGAGAACAAAACTTTGACATGACGGTTTAGAAAATTGAATGTATCTGTGTATTAGACAATGTCGGTAATGTGGTGAAAAATGTGTATGTTTTGTTTGGAAAGGATATGTCGTTGACGAATGATGCAGCAGAACGTCAGGAGGTTTTCTTACCAGAGCTGTGTACAAGGTAGCCACGACCCCCACAGACAGCACAGAACCCCACAGGCTGAGACCAGTAGCTGGGTGAACACAGGATGATTCAGGTGACATAACACAAGGATACAGAGTTACCGTAATATGTGTAATAACAGTGAGATGAAAACACAGTGAATTTTAGAAAGTGGTCAAATGTAACAAATGTTATATATTCAACAGCAGAAGTTCCCGTGACACCAATATTTTAGTGTATTTTTCAAACAAGTAAAGTTTGTTTTTCAATATTGTAGTACATGTATAGAATCAAGTCACAAAAACGCTACAGAAAAGCATGCATTCCATGCGAAAGTTGACTTTTATGCAAGCCCCATGCATTTCACTACCCAAGAAAAGGTATTAAAACATGTGCTTTAACGGGATTCCATATGCATTGTTTAACATCGTGCTGACAACAACCACTCAGAAAAACAACAAATTACTTAATCATTCAATATTACGAAATGCCACGCCTGTCCGAAAATGAGCGTCTGTGAGCCATTGGTATGCCAGAAGCAGAATCGAGTCAACGTGATGTTGCAAGACCAATTAACGTCCACAGAAACCAATAATAGACAAGACAACTGGATTCGAACAACACACCTACGAAATCGATTCCAGCCAGCAACAGTGACTGCAAGAAGCATCCCTGCCTTCGACGAATATCTTCACAAACCGTATGTCGTCGGCTCAGATGTGCAGGGATTGTCGCCAGAAGACCCGCCAGACGTCCCATTTTGACGGGAAACCACCGTCAAGCACGTCTGCAGTGGTGAAGACAGCGTCTACGCTGGACGGCCATGCAGTGGGGATAAGTTCAACGAGTCTCGTTTTCACCTCAGCCACAGCGATGGACGGATTCGAGTGTACCGACGTCGAGGTGAACGTTTCGTCAATCATTGTGCCATGGAAGAAGATCGGTTCGGGGGCGGCAGCGTTATGGTATGGGGTGGGATTACAGCAAGACAGAGGACCCGTTTGATAGTGGTAGAGGGAAATCTCAATGGACAGCGCTACCGCGACGAGATCATCGGTCCTGTTGTTCAACCGTTTTTGCGTCGACATGGCCCAGGCATTACCTTTCAACATGACAACGCCGGCCTCATATTGCTCTACTTGTTCAGGATTCTCTTCAACAAAACAACGTGAAAGTCATCCCCTGACCGGCTCGCTCCCCTGATCTCGCACCAATCGAGCACATGTGGGATGAGATACATCGGCGCCTTCGACGTCAACCACGTGTTCCACAGACACTCCAGGTACTTCGAAACATGATCCAGTAGATATGGACAGATATCCCACAGGACTTTGTGCGACGCCTGGTACATTCCAAGAGACGAAGATATGTTGCTTGCATCGCAACCAGAGGTGGACACACACGCTATTGATTTGTAAATTGACATTTTGGCATATTCATGTTTTTTATGAAAGTACGCATTTTCTGTGGTCGTATGACAAATTAAACCATTTGAACACTTACAGGAGTCTTTTATCTGTTGCAAACCGAAATTGTTTCAGATTTGGTAAAAAACATAACTTTACATTAAATCTAATTCAATGCCACAGGAACTTGTGTTGTTCAATATATTTTGGGTAACACTTTCTAAGTAAAGTACGGATTCTAGTACTTTTGGGCTAGAGTCCGCACCGGGTTTCGAACTTACACTCTCACAATGAGGTACCTAATCCCCAGCACACAAAGTAAGCAATCGAACCTACTCCACAAAATCGAAGTCCAACAACTGGTAGTCTAGATCCCTTACTTTACCCCTGATAAGTGTAAATATTGGCGCGACACCCATGGCCGAAAGCTAAGAATACACAATGCCATTCAGAAAGTGGACATTAGATGCCTCACTCTGAGCGTGTTGGTTCGAATCCCACAAACGTACTAGAATCTGTACTTTACTGAGAAAGTGTTGTCCCAAATTTAATATGTTGTGATGATAAGGGGCACCTTGAGAAATTCCAATTGCATAATCCTACCGACTTACCTGCACTGAGCGCGAGGCAGGGAGCGTACAGGACGAATGACATATACAGCATCTGCAACAACATTGGATCTCAAGCTTATGATTTACGCTGCTGTAGCATAACATGTTTCTCATACCAATATACGCGGCTGTAGCAGAACATTCCTCTCATACCAACATACGCGGCTGTAGCAGAACACTTCTCTCATACCAACATACGCGGCTGTAGCAGAACACTACACTCATACCAACACACGCGGCTGTAGCAATACACTTCTCTCATACCAACATACGCGGCTGTAGCAGAACACTTCTCTCATACCAACATACGCGGCTGTAGCAGAACACTTCACTCATACCAACATACGCGGCTGTAGCAATACACTTCTCTCATACCAACATACGCGGCTGTAGCAGAACACTTCTCTCATACCAACATACGCGGCTGTAACAAAACACTTCTCTCATACCAACAACGCGGCTGTAGCAATACACTTCTCTCATACCAACATACGCGGCTGTAGCAATACACTTCTCTCATACCAACATACGCGGCTGTAGCAATACACTTATCTCATACCAACATACGCGGCTGTAGCAGAACATTCCTCTCATACCAACATACGCGGCTGTAACAAAACACTTCTCTCATACCAACATACGCGGCTGTAACAAAACACTTCTCTCATACCAACATACGCGGCTGTAGCAATACACTTATCTCATACCAACATACGCGGCTGTAGCAGAACACTTCTCTCACACCAACATACGCGGCTGTAGCAATACACTTCTCTCATACCAACATACGCGGCTGTAGCAGAACACTTCTCTCATACCAACATACGCGGCTGTAGCAGAACACTTCTCTCATACCAACATACGCGGCTGTAGCAGAACATTCCTCTCATACCAACATACGCGTCTGTAACAAAACACTTCTCTCATACCAACATACGCGGCTGTAACAAAACACTTCTCTCATACCAACATACGCGGCTGTAGCGATACACTTATCTCATACCAACATACGCGGCTGAAGCAGAACACTTCTCTCATACCAACATACGCGGCTGTAGCAATACACTTCTCTCATACCAACATACGCGGCTGTAGCAGAACACTTCTCTCATACCAACATACGCGGCTGTAGCAGAACACTTCTCTCATACCAACATACGTGGCTGTAGCATAACATGTTTCGCATACCAACACACGCGACTGTAGCATAACATGTTTCTCATACCAACATACGCGGCTGTAGCAGAACACTTCTCTCATACCAACATACGCGGCTGTAGCAGAACATTCCTCTCATACCAACATACGCGGCTGTAGCAGAACACTACTCTCATACCAACATACGCGACTGTGGCAGAACACTTCTCTCATACCAACATACGCGGCTATAGCATAACATGTTTCTCATACCAACATACGCGGCTATAGCAGAAAACTTCTCGCATACCAACACACGCGACTGTAGCATAACATGTTTCTCATACCAACATACGCGGCTATAGCAGAAAACCTCTCGCATACCAACACACGCGACTGTAGCAGAACACTTCTCTCATACCAACACACGCGACTGTAGCAGAACATTCCTCTCATGCCAACATACGCGGCTGAAGCAGAACACTTCTCTCATACCAACATACGCGGCTGTAGCAATACACTTCTCTCATACCAACATACGCGGCTGTAGCAGAACACTTCTCTCATACCAACATACGCGGCTGTAGCAGAACACTTCTCTCATACCAACATACGCGGCTGTAGCAAAACATTTCTCTCGTACCAACATACGCGACTGTAGCATAACATGTTCCTCATACTTATATACGCGGCTGTAGCAGAACACTTCTCTCATAACAACATACGCGGCTGTAGCATAACATGTTTCGCATACCAACACACGCGACTGTAGCATAACATGTTTCTCATACCAACATACGCGGCTGTAGCAGAACACTTCTCTCATACCAACATACGCGGCTGTAGCAGAACATTCCTCTCATACCAACATACGCGGCTGTAGCAGAACACTACTCTCATACCAACACACGCGACTGTGGCAGAACACTTCTCTCATACCAACATACGCGGCTGTAGCAGAACATGTTTCTCATACCAACATACGCGGCTGTAGCAGAAAACTTCTCGCATACCAACACACGCGACTGTAGCATAACATGTTTCTCATACCAACATATGCGGCTATAGCAGAAAACCTCTCGCATACCAACACACGCGACTGTAGCAGAACACTTCTCTCATACCAACATACGCGACTGTAGCAGAACATTCCTCTCATGCCAACATACGCGGCTGAAGCAGAACACTTCTCTCATACCAACATACGCGGCTGTAGCAGAACATTCCTCTCATACCAACATACGCGGCTGTAGCAGAACACTTTTCTCATACCAACATACGCGGCTGTAGCAGAACACTTCTCTCATACCAACACACGCGACTGTAGCAGAACACTTCTCTCATACCAACACACGCGACTGTAGCAGAATATTCCTCTCATACCAACATACGCGGCTGTAGCAGAACACTTCTCTCATACAAGCATACGCGGCTGTAGCAGAACACTTCTCTCATACCAACACACGCGACTGTGGCAGAACACTTCTCTCATACCAATATACGCGACTGTAGCAGAACACTTCTCTCATACCAACACACGCGACTGTGGCAGAACACTTCTCTCATACCAACATACGCGGCTGTAGCAGAACATGTTTCTCATACCAACATACGCGGCTATAGCAGAAAACTTCTCGCATACCAACACACGCGACTGTAGCATAACATGTTTCTCATACCAACATACGCGGCTATAGCAGAAAACCTCTCGCATACCAACACACGCGACTGTAGCAGAACACTTCTCTCATACCAACATACGCGACTGTAGCAGAACATTCCTCTCATGCCAACATACGCGGCTGAAGCAGAACACTTCTCTCATACCAACATACGCGGCTGTAGCAGAACATTCCTCTCATACCAACATACGCGGCTGTAGCAGAACACTTTTCTCATACCAACATACGCGGCTGTAGCAGAACACTTCTCTCATACCAACACACGCGACTGTAGCAGAACACTTCTCTCATACCAACACACGCGACTGTAGCAGAATATTCCTCTCATACCAACATACGCGGCTGTAGCAGAACACTTCTCTCATACAAGCATACGCGGCTGTAGCAGAACACTTCTCTCATACCAACACACGCGACTGTGGCAGAACACTTCTCTCATACCAATATACGCGACTGTAGCAGAACACTTCTCTCATACCAACACACGCGACTGTGGAAGAACACTTCTCTCATACCAACATACGCGGCAGTAGCAGAACACTTCTCTCATACCAACATACTTATACGCAACCAGAACTGTGCTTGTTAGTAAAGGGGTTTGTTGTTAACGCAGCTCGAGATGTGGAACACCTACTATTTGAATAACGAACAGGAGGGACACGATGAAGCGAACACTCCGGCCAAAGCGCATTTCCAGGTACTGCAATTGAAAAGATAACATACATTAGAATACTTGATAACAAGGATGCTAAATATTGGTTCGAGATGATTGAGATTTAGAGCCCAGTTGATCATTTTGGAATGTAGGGTGATAAACAAAGGCATTTCCAGAGCGGTACAAGGCGACTTTGTTCCTGACAATGAACATATTAGTAAGTTGTTACAAGATCATGACGGCTCTAATCTCTCTCGACATAATGCTTTCGTTCAAAAGATATGTATATTAAATGTATTTAGCTGCCATACCTTGCATTAGAACTAGGTTGTTTTATATATGTAAAATAAATGCGTGAATGTCCGGGTTAGAGAAGGTCTTCAGCACCCCATGCTTGTCGTTAAAGGCGACTTTGCTTGTTGAAAAGGCGACGAAAGGGATCGGGGGGTCAGGCACGCTGACTTGGTTGATGTATGTCATTGTATCCCATTTGCGTGGGATCGATGATCATGATATCAATCACTTGATTGTCTGGTTCAGACTCGGTTATTTACATACCACCGTCAAACAGCTGCGGTATTGCTTGGTGCGGCGTTAAACAACAAACAAACAAACGGAAATTGTTTTAAAGATCGCATTAGCAAGCAGTGAAAATCCTTTGTAATGTCTTGCCTCGAACACGCTGGTCGTCCCAAGTCTGTAGAAGAAGGGTATGAATACTCGGACCGCTCCCACCGTGGCGAGGACAAACCCCACACAGATCCACCAGAACATGGAATTGTAGGTATATACTTCAGCTGGCGTGCCCAAAATAGTCAACGCCGAAAGGAACGTCACCAGCAGCGACATGGCGATGGGGATGACGTGCATCTTACGTCCTCCCAGCAGGAACTCGCTAGTGGAAACATTGTTACGGTCTTTGACTGCGTAAAAGAAGCCAATACCAGCGGATACCGTCAATGTCGCCGCGAGAACGACGTAGTCTGCCGTGTGGAAGGTCCTGACCTGGCCAGTAACGATGCTGTAACCGTCTCCGTCCATGGCGGCCAACTGACTGTTGATCTTGTGACTGCTTGCCGCCTCTGCTGGTCGATGGTGGTGGTTCACGCTTTATTACTTCTGTGGGAACAGTAGAACCGTGACTGATAACAGTGTTTAATACAGCGGTATGTTTATCTTGAAAATATGGATACGATTGTTGTATCTCGTATGACTGAACATGGAATATCAATTGAAGTGTAGCTATCGACACTATCAAGACAAAGACGGAGTCATTGCCAGTTGACCGATTTGTGACTCACTGCATGTGGGCATGACGATAGCTGCATGTGGGTTCCCACTGATGTGTGATGATACCTGGTAATATGACCGACGTTTTCCCTTGCTTAACTGGCGTTAGACAAAGAAAACATCTACCATCTCTTATTTACTGTATACCTAAATGATTTAGAACAATATCTCATTGATAATGAGGGGCGGTCGGGTAGCCTAGTGGTTAAAGCGTTCGCTCGCCACGCCGAAGACCCGGGTTCGATTCCCGACATGGGTACAATGTGTGAAACCCATTTCTGGTGTCCCCCGCCGTGATATTGCTGGAATATTACTAAAAGCGGCGTAAAACCATACTCACTCACTCACTCATTGATATTGAGGGTGAAAAAATTCATTTAGAATATATCAACGGGAATGAATGGTTAGTTTTATCAAACTTCTTTTACTTCTATAAGCTGATGATACAGTACTGCCTGGAGAAAGCAGACAACAGCCACAGACGTAATTGACGCTATTATTATTTAGGTATCCCTTTACACCGCAATAGAAAAATGAATACATCTGTAAAATATATTGCTGAAATCGCCATAAAGCTACAATGAACCTTGTAAAACGTCTCAGAAATTTACATGTACCACTAGATTGTCTTGACGAAACGTTTGATAAAATTACTATTTATTTTATGGTTCGGAAGTATATGGCTCTCATTACACCTCAGCAATCGAAAGTGTACATCTACATGTCTGAAAGCGAGCTGCACGTTCAAGACGGTCCACGGCAAATTTAATGGTATACGACGAACTCGGGCGAGAAGCGCTCGGTAATAATAAGTGTTAAAACAATGGTAGGTTATTGGCGCAAGCTGAGTCAGCCCTCGCAACATGAAAATAACATCGCGTTTTTTATGTTGAAAATTATGATAAATCACAATAAAATAAAGGGTACCACCCTTCTGTGGCTTAATCATATCAAAAATATATTTATTAATTGTGTTCTTACCTGTAAGTTTGATTCCACTGGTGATTATAACAAAGCCCACATTTTATTTCAATTTGAGAATACCCTCTACCTTCAGGTTATTCTTCCCCGCCCTTAAGGCGGGGAAGTATACGGGAAACGTTAATTTTGTAGCATGTATGTCGACATGTTGGTTTATTTGAAATTTCAAGCCACGCATTTACGGAAACAAAACATACAAATCATGTGCGTGGAATGTTGATGGTATTCTTTTCCAGCAATAAGAGATACTTCAAAATCGTCTTTATGTAGTTAATTGATGCATCTGACCGTTTCTGGTCATTAGCTGACATTATTAAACCATTCATGTGTAATCCGATGTCCTTTTTTCCTCAAGGACTAATTTTCTGTACTCCGGAGATCGTATATAACAGCACAACATAAAATATGTTCTGAATATGCTTATTCATGAACAACGACATACTCAATTTAAATGTAATATGGCTGAATTCCACATTCGACATACCACACTTTTGATTGTTTGGATGCTCATGTTCACTGGAAATATTTGGAATAGTTATATTCCATATTTTGAATTAACCCAGTCCCCCGTGTTTTTTAACAAGAAAAATTGATGCAAAGCATCAAAGTTCCCCGCCATATGTGATGCCTCACAAACGTATAATTATGATGTTACTGAAAGGCATGAAGGAGCATAATTATATCAACCACAAATAACACAACGCTGTTGTGGAAGGAATATTATTTATTTTGAGTATTGGGCAATACAGTTGATACATTTGCATAGGGAAGGTCTATTTAAAAATTGTTTCTTGTTTAACACCGCACTCAGCAGTATTTCAGCCATATGACGGCGGTCTGTAAATAATCCAGTCTGGACAAGATCATCCAGTGACTGACATTCTTTTTACACTTGGCATTTGGTTATAATAATGTAAATGAAAATACTAGGGGCTCCATATGGCAAAAAAGTCATACTAGATAAGGTCTTTTTGTCACAACCACAGATGCACATACTCAAAGTAGGAGAACATTTCAATACTGGGACTATTCAATAACGGAGATTCCTAGCCTCTTGGTTTACGTTTTTTGGTCAGTTTCTTTTTTTTATTTCTTTCTTTCAAAGAATAGTAATTGTGATCATGATGAGTTGAGTTAATCAGCTCCCAGCAGCCACTGCCTCAAGGGTTATTGTCTACATAACAGATCAGTTTTATGGCTCCGTCACAGGTGCTCCAAATATTGAAGCAGGGAAAAGAAATTCATAGAATCATTTCAACAATCAATATTCCCCATCACTTTTGGTAACTTTTAATGATGTCTTCATTTTTACGGATTTTGATTCGTATTCATTATTTGACTCTCATCAGCGGAATGGTTTGGGTCAGATTGATCCGAATGGACAAGCGGGTTTACTTCTGTTTAGTAGTAAGGATGAATTGTTATGTTACATCTTAACAGTATATCAGGCTACTATGTCGTAAGAGGCGACACACGGGATCGGGTGGTCAGGCTTTGGTTGATGCATGGCATCGATCCCAATTGCGTGTTTCGATGCTCATGATATTAAGCACTGGGTTGTCTGGTCCAGACACGATTATTTACAGAACGCCGTCATATAGCTGGAATACTGCTGAATGCGGCGTTAAACGACAAACCAATCAATCATTATCATATGAACTCAAACCAGTCATTGTTACAAGTAAACCACATTCCACAACAGTTACTGACACTGGATAAAAAAACATAGAAAAAAATCAAGTAACTCAACTCATCATGATCACAATTACTATTCTTTGAACGAGAGAAATAAAAAAAAGAAACTGACCACAAAACGTAAACCAAGAGACTAGGAATCTCCGTTATTGAATAGTCCCAGTATTGAAATGTTCTCCAACTACGTGATATTTTGAGTATGTGCATCTGTGGTTGTGACAAAAAAAACTTATCTAGTATGACTTTATTGCCATATGGAGCCCTTAGTATTTTCATTTACATTATTATAACCAAATGCCAAGTGTAAAAAGAATGTGATCTATTAGTTGAGTATGTGCATCTGCCAATGTTGTTGGCAGTTTTGATACTATTTCCACATGTTTACATTTGTGCCAGAAATTGCTTCCATTTCCTTCGATCTACTTTTTAAATAAAGACCCAGGTTAGAATAGGTCTTCAGCAACCCATGCTTGCCATAAAAGGCGGCGTTGAGTGCGGCGTTAAACAAGAAACTATTTTTAAATAGACCTACCCTATGGAAATAATATTTTTTCCACAACAGTGTTGTGTTATTTGTGGTTAATATAATTATGCTCCTTCATACCTTCAGTAACATTATAATTATGCTTTTGTGAGGCATCACATATGGCGGGGAACTTTGCATCAATAATTTCTTGTCCAGTCATGGAGAAGTGGTGTCATCAACGAATTCCACTCTCTGTTCCATTTTCAATCACTAGAAACGAACCATTTTGATTGATAAGTATTATTACGATAGGCCAAACATCTTTAAGTTTGGTGAATTATTGAACACCAAACACATATCTGTCATCGAGAAATTCCTCGTATTCCTGAATAGTCATTTGAGGAGAAGATACATCCCTTGCGTTGGCAATTACTAGGTTATATTTGTCCGCAAATATAAATATTACATTGGTCAGAATTAATTTTCAAAACTGTGAAAAGATGACCTACAAGGTTACTTACTGTATAACATTTCTTTCTGAAACAATGTAACAGTAATTGTTTCATCTGTAGCGTTCAATGCTTGTCCGAAAAATATTCTCCAGAACGTTACTTTTTGTCCAAAAAGAAATAACCCAATCATAGTGTTCATGTACTTGTCACCAAGAGTCAAAAAAAGGTTGTTGATGATATTGAACTGAAGGGTAATCTCTCGTCCCACCTTTGTAAAGCGAATCCTGATCATTAAGAAAGAAACAAAGTGCATTTCTAATTTCCATCTCTGTATAATGAAGGTGATGAATAATACACCTGTACACAGATATCCATTGAATCTGGAGTGAGTGAGTATGGTTTTACGCCGCTTTCAGCAATATTCCAGCAACGCCACGGCGGGGGACACTAGGAATAGGCTTCACACAATTTGCCCATGTGGGGATTCGAACCTGGGTATTCGGCGTGACGAGCGAACGCTTTAACTACTACACTACCCCACTGTTCTCATTGAATCTGGAACAGGATTGAGGGGAATTGCTCATATAATGTGTAAATATCCATGTTACTGAAATACGTCCATCAATTCAGCTCAAGGGACAGCCCATTCCACTTGATATTCTGGGGCTGAGAGTTTTGCTTAAAGAGTGATCATGAGTGAGTGAGTTAGGTTCACTGCCGGTTTGAACGGTATTTCACTTATACCACGGCGTGTCAGCTTAAAGCTCGAAGTGATGCAGGTCTCAGGCGTTTACCACTTCTGTGGAACCCTTGCGAGTGTTATGGTGCTGACAAACCTAGAGAGAATCGGGGCAAAATGGGACTCGATCCCTAAATCATAGGGTTCTGGCGTTGCCAAGGGACGCAACTCTTCCACCCATGTCTCCAATTCTTAAAGAATAAATACTTGTAAACTGTCGACATTCACATACACCTACACGACACAT